ATTATGCAAATAATTAGCTAATAATTGATAAAATCTATACTAAACACATGGCTAAATATGCACATATCATGTTTCCTCAAAAATAACATCACGAGAAATATATATTTTGCCAGTGAGTTTGTCTAGACATTTATAACCTTTGTGAATTGAGCTATAGCCTAAAAAGACACACAATTTAGATCGAAACATGAGTTTTCTGGTGTTGTATTTTCGCAAATTCGGCCAACATGCACATCCAAAAACACGTAAGAACGAGTAGTCAGGGTTAATTTTGAGTAATCGAAAAATAGGTGTTGTGTTGTTTATGGTTCGACTAGGCATCCTAATGATCAAGTAGCAAGCAGTTAGGAAAGCCTCATCCCAATAACGAAGGGGAAGAGATGACTGAGCTAAGAGCGCTAAGCCTGTCTCAACTATGTGGCGGTGCTTGCGCTCAGCGACTCCGTTTTGTGATGATGTGTGTGGGCAAGAGACACGATGAGTGATGCCCACTTGTTGAAAATATTTATGTAATCTCTGATATTCTCCTCCCCAGTCAGATTGCACAGATCGAATCTTAGCTTTCAAAAGACGCTCAACATGATTTTGGAAGTTATAAAAAACTTGTTCAACATCAGACTTATTTTTGATAAGGTAAATCCAAGTGTATCGACTAAAATCATCCAAGAAACTGACATAATATTTAAACCCTCCACTCGATACTTGAGTTGGTCCCCAAACATCGGTATGAACCAACTCAAGTGGAGTAGAGGTGACACGACTCGAACTTTTATAAGGTAATTGATGACTTTTTGCACGTTGACACGCGTCACAGACACTTGACTCACTAGATAAATAATCTAGTTTATTTGAATGTAAAATGGACTTGATGATAGTAGGTGTTGGATGACCAAATCGTTGATGCCACTGTGAGGAGGAGACCTTGACACTTGAGGAGACTTGACGGGAGTGACCTGAGGAACGAGTGACTGGAACAGGATACAGACCCCCTTTAGTTCTACCGAATAGAAGCACCTTCTTCGTTGCTATGTCCTTAACAAAGAAAACATTAGGGTAGAGTTCAATAAAAACATGATTATTAGAAACAAGCCTCTGAGCAGACAATAGGTGTTTGTTGATTTTAGGGACATGCAAAACATTTTTGAGAACAAGGGGTCGACCTGAACCGGGTAATAAAGAATGACCAATATGTGAAATTGACAAACCTGCACCATTTGCAACTTGAACCTGGTCCTTTCCATGATATCGTTCTTGCACAGTGAGACGATCCAAGTCATGAATCAAGTGATCAGTGGCTCCACAGTCCAACCACCATGGATTATCGGGATGATAGTTTCCTCCTGTCACACTGTTGCCGCTTCGATGTTGTTGTTCTTCAGCCTGGTAAGCATGATTAAACCTGTTTCTGCAATTCAATGCAGTGTGACCAGGTATGCCACAAACTTGGCACCTTGGTCCTCCATAATTTCGACTGCGTCCGCGTCCACGTCCACGTCCACTTCCCCCTCGATAATTTCCTCGCTGATAGTTGTTGTTGTACCCATTGTTGTTAGGACTGTTGCGACGAGGAGGGTTGTTTGAATCTTGACCAGAGACGGTGTTGGCGGAAGAGGTAAATAGTATTCCCCATAGCGTTGGCCTGAGCTTCATGAGCAATTAAGTAAGAGTATAATTCAGGTAGGGTTACCTTGCGTTCATTGCTCAGAACGGTGATTGCAGTGAAAATATCACTGTGTCCAGGTCCTAGCCCGGCTAATATGTAGCCAATAACTTCTTCATCATTCATAGGTTGACCAATGTTGGCCATGGTGTCAGCGAAACCAGTCATCTTTTGATAGTATTCAGCGGCACTCATGTCTCCTTTCTTTGTTGTAGAGAACTGCGTACGAATTTGTATTGAATTACCGCGATGTTGGGTTGAGAACATAGTGTGGAGCGATGTCCACAGTTCTTGTGCTGTGCTGGTGCAGCGAATTAACTGAGGGAGGACTTCCTCAGTCATGGAGGATAGAAGGCCTCCGATCACAGCCTGATCCTGGATTACCCAGGTCTGATAATCTGGATTTGCTTGTTCTTTGACAACATCCTCTGTCTCTTTGCCAGCCCCACTGGTTCCTATGGTGATTTTGGCGGCTGGTGCTGGTGTGGATCCATCAAGATGACCAAAGAGTTGGACACCACGAAGGATTGGAACGACCTGTGCTTTCCACAGCAAGAAATTAGTTCTGGATAGTTTACAAGAGATAGCTGTGGCGATGGTGGTTGATTTAACCGGAGCAAACATGATTAGAAAGATTTAGAGAAACTCTTTGGAAGGAAACCAAAAGAGCCGGAAAGATAATTAGGGTTTGAGATAGGCGGATCTGGCTCTGATACCAAGTAAAACTCTGTATTTGCCGTGAATAACCCAATGGGTTAGTGTTTCATTATATAGATGACTTTACAACAATAGATCCTAAATACATGGATCTGATCACATACAAAGTATATCACGAATACTAAATCTAATTGACTATGTTATCTTCTTATCTCATTTAACACAATTGGCTTGGAAATCTCACGAAGGAGCTTACGGGACATCATGTCATGCCTATCACCTTGTTTGTTGATAACAATTTGGCGACTCAGTTGATGAAGAATCCTGTGTTTCATGGCAGAAGCAAGCACATTGACATTCACTATCACTTCATAAGGGAATGTGTTGAGAAAGGACAAATTGTAGTAGAACACGTCAACTCAACGGATCAACGAGCGGACATCTTTACAAAGGCCTTGACATACGTGAAGCATGGCGAAATGCGAAATATGCTCGGCGTGACGAATACGGTACAATTGTTTAAAGCTTTCCTAGGTACAACTTTTTAATCTTTTCCTATTTGTTTGTCAGAAAAGCATCGTAGGTCTTGTCTTTGTTTGCTATTTTATGCATGTCCTCGGTTTTAAGGGATATGTATAGATCTCCCTTAGATTACTTTTATTATTATATTAGTTGTATTTGGCTATAAATAATAGACGTGGTCAGTTTTTATTTCATACCAATGTAACCGTCGGTTCTTTTTAAATAAAGTCTTAAGCTTTAAAGCTTGTAACACTTTGTCTCATTTATTTCTTCTACACCTTTGCGTCTTTGTCGGCTCACACATATAACCAATAATTTCCCTTTAATATTGCCTACAGTTAGATCATTATTTCCCAACAACCCCAACATAAACAAACTTCTCGTTCCCAATTTTGGCACTGTCACATCTGATAGCTCCTTTTCTCTCTGAAATTGCGGCCGATTTTTCTGGTCGAAGGTGCTCTCCAACAACTTATTAGATACAGCAGCGATGAAGATACAATAAAGGTCATGTCAGTTTAATATAAATAGATTTTGGGAACTTTAGTAAATATCATCAAAGAAAAAGTGCACTTACAACTCAAATGCAATGAAGTTATAAGCTAGAACAACATCAAATCTAGACATAATATCAAGTGTTATAAACCGCAGATTCACTATACCAAAAATTAGCATCCAATATCCTCAAATACCAAAACGCGAACGGAGGTACGTATGGGTATCTTGAGATTTCATGTGAAGTTGATGACACAGGCTGTAGACCTCTTTTCAATCATTCCCAAATCCTTTCTGACCTTTGTTTTCCTATTCAAATCCTGTAGACAAGACTCAGACCACACAATATTAACCCTCTCCAAAACACACGCATTCTCCAAAACACACGCATTCTCCAAAACACATTTGAGGAAATATATTTCTGAATTATAACCATGAAACTTCTTCAAGGTCACTGTCTTGAGGCAATTCGAGATGCATGTAGGTATTGAAGACCAAATTGAATTGTTCTCCCCAAGTTGCATGTTGCGCATGAATCCCTACACAACAATTTTAGAAAACCTTGTGTTAGTATAATGATCATCCGCATGATGTTTTAATTTTGAGAATAGAGTAATCCACCTCTGAGAAACAAATTGATTGTAGAACTGGGCAAAAGGAAAGCAAAACCATATGCTTCATCTCGATTTCCGTCGTCAGCATTAAAGTGCTCAAATTCCAAAACACCGGAAAATTAGTACTATCTGCATATAAAAGAGTCTTCGCATAGGAAAGAAAACACGCAAACACAAAAGTCACTAATTCGTTTTATACTCTATATTCCATTTAAAATGTAGATTATATTGCCAATTACCTCCATAGTGAGATTAGATAACTTCAAAGAAACGACACATTGTAGTTCTTCGAACAGATCAATAGCTTGAAATGCTACTTCGTTTATCCTCCTTTCGGGATTCAGAATGTTAAAGAATGATTTGACCAGAGACGGTGTGTTATTCAAGATAATCTTGTTAAATAGAAATCCGTTATATTTAAAATATGTAAGATTTACAGCATCAATCTTGATCTTACAACCACCAAGATCACTGGATTTCGATGGGTCACATATGGTCAAGCTCTTTAAGGTGGAACTGGAGATTACAATGTTCTTCAAGTAATTCAATTTGCATTGAAATAATTCCAATTCTTCAAGAACTGGACAGCCTAAGAAAAGCTTTTCAGTACAATCATCATTCGGGAACCGAACAAAGGATAGGTGCAAGGTTTTCAAACATGGAAAAGAAACATTAGATGGGAGTTGAATAATACCAATCATTCTTATTTTCAAGGTGACGAATGATGTGCTATCAAACATAGAACGAGGAATCACAGATGGATGAATTGTAACAAAAGACAAATCAATCTCCTGAACATTTTGCATGATTGCATGGGAAATCCATGAACGTATTTGAGATGCATTACGGAAAACACGAAATGATATACGGAACTTCTTCATACTTAATGCATCCCGTAACCGGAGGACTCTTTCTACAAAGTTCACAAAGGAAGTCACATCAACCTTTCTATCAGTATCACACAACAAATCATCATCAAAATAAATGTTGGTAAGTGAAGGCCAGTGGTTCTTCCATCTTGTAGATAATATGGATGATTTTACAGCTTCTTTAGTGGACATAAACGACATAATATGATGAAGGATACAATCAGGTAGATTGCTGAAATCATGGACCACATCACCTATATCCTTAATTTGTTCACTCATGGTTAGCCTCTTTGAAACCCTAAACACGGCCTACATACAAAAAAAATGTCAAGTTTAGCCTCTTCAAAATCAACTAAACTGAAAATAGTCAAGGAAAATAATTGAATTTCATCATAACAACTCTATAACACGGGATGCAAGTTGAGCCATAGGCTATATCAATTACCTTAAACTATGAACACTTCATCACTTAAATAGTCAAACTAGGCACTTTTAGGACTCAAAATAGATATAAATTGCCTTCAATTTAAAGCAAATGAACTAATAAAGAGTAGACTTTTTTGAGTTGTGCCCTAGTCATAAGCTTCTAATTCATGTATGAGAATTATAATTCCTAGATACAACTTTTTTTTTTTTTTTTTTTTTTTTTAAAAAACGCAAAGAATAGAACCATGAACTCTAGAAGGTGTTTGACAAACATAATACGAACCCTAGAATTGTTGATCCGATAAAACTCATTGATACGCTAAACAACTTGATAGTCTTTTTGTTGACTTCTCAAAAATAACTGGAGGGATTAAATCGAAATAACAGGAACTGTAAAAAGACGCTATGAACTCAGTCGATATGATAAACAACATTCAGATTCCATATAAATAAAGAATGAGTTTCCTCATATAAGATCTTCTAATTGATCTTACATTCGCACATACTTTGCATATGAACACATACAGAGAGAAATACAGAGAGATGCTGACTTTTGAGTGAAGATTTAGATTGTTGATGTGTTGTGCAGTAACGAATCGTGGACGTCCAGTTCGCTAGACTATTTATCGAAGAATGAACAAGGGCTTTGGCGGAGGTTCACCCGTTAATATATACATATTAATGCCTAAAGGTTTAAGGAACAATTATCTTTATAGAGTTCAGACTTTTGCCACAAATGTTTGTGGGATTGACAGGTTTGGCCCCTGATCTGAGCTTGCTCGATGCTTCCCACCGCTCCAATTTGGTCGCATATGGAATGCTCTAAATAACTCGTGTTTTACATCTATGAATATACGGGTGGTCGATATAATTCTCCGAAAACCCGTTCCACCTCCGACCTCTCACGAACCGCACCGCCACTGCCACCGGTCTTCCTGGTATAGAAATGTCGGCGACCTCGAAATTATCCAGCCCCACGATTTCATTCTCTAAGCGCCACCGTCAGCGGTCTTCCGGTAATTGTAGAAATGTCGGCGACCTCATAATTGATCCAACCCCACGATTTAATTCTCTCAATCCTCAGCTTTCTAGGGTTTTCGTAACCCTTTGCGTCTCTCCACACCTGCAGCTTCGGTTGTGTTGATGCTGTGATCGACTGGGGTTAATCCTGTCGAAAATACCCAATACCCGAATTAACCGCCCAATTTTTTCGGGTATCGGGTAATCGGGTAACCCGATTTTTTTTCCAAGGGTATAGAGTGTTTGTTGGGTTTCGGGTATATCCGAATTATTTTAATTTTTTTTTTCGTAGAGCTTGTACTAGTTTTTATTGTAACTAACAAACTCATTATCTTGACGAAATTTCAGACAAAACTTATGACTACAATCATCTTAAACATTTTATACTTTTAAACTAAGATCTTTAAGTATTTGTTTTTTAACATCTTAGACCGGAAGGAGTGGGAGGGAAGCTTCCCTCACTTTTGGTGGGCCATAACCCTCTTTCCCTTACTCTCCTTTCCCTCACCTAAAAGCCAAAGAATGGGTGAGAAGCCCTTCCCTCACTTTTTTTTTATTATATTAAATAAAATATTTTTTTTTTGATTTATAATTTGTAAATTAATATCAAACATAAAATTTAATTAAAAATAAAAAGCATTTCATTAAGTAAAATAAAAATTACATTAACCCTAATATTTAAATAAGTAGAAAAAAAACCGCAAAAAAAAAAAA